TATAGTGCTGCCGAGGTAAGTGAAGTCATCTACCTGGTTTAGGGCTGTCCCATCCACTAGGATCTCCTCCTCCTCTCGGTGGTCTGTACCTGGTTGGAATAGTACTTCAGTCTTTTTGATGTTTATTTGTAGACCGAACTTCTTTGATGCTGATGAAAATACATCTATAACATGTTGCATCTGCTCTGGTGTATGAGAAACAAGAGCACTGTCATCTGCAAAGAGGAGTTCCCTCACGAGAATCTGTGTAGACTTCGTCTTAGCTTTGAAGTGTGCGACATTGAATAGGTCGGCGTCTTGACGTGATTGTATGTAAACGCCTTCCTCAAAGTCCGCAAAGGCCTCCTCCAGCATCGCCGAGAGAAAGATGGAGAACAACGTAGGGGCCAACACACATCCTTGTTTTACACCGTTACTTACAGGGAAGCTATGGGATGTTTCGCCTGCTTCCTTGACTTTAGCCATCATACCCGTATGTAAGGACTCTACCATTCCGGTGAACTTCTCGGGACATCCATACTTTCGTAGTAGTTCCCAAAGACCTGTCCTACCAACAGTGTCAAAGGCTTTCGTGAAATCGACAAAAAACACATAGAGGGATCGGTTGTGCTCAATGCACTTCTCCTGTAGTTGTCTGAGGCAGAAGATCATATCTACTGTGCTGCGGTTGTTCCTAAATCCGCATTGCGTCTCCGGCAATATATCTGGTGCTATGTGGGTATTCAATCTGTTCAGAAGGATCCTGGCAAAAACTTTCCCTGCTATTGACAATAGCGATATTCCTCTGTAGTTTCCACATTGAGTTCTATCTCCTTTTTTGAAGATGGCGACAATATTAGCATCCTTCCATTCCTGAGGTACGGAGCCTTCTGCCCATGCTTGTTGTATCAGCATTAGTAAACTGTTGGTTAGTGTGGCTCCTCCGTGCTTCCATCTCGCTTGGTATCCCATCCACTCCGGGTGCCTTGCCATCACCCAAGGAGGCAATTGCCAGGTTTAGTTCTTTTCGTGTTGGAATATCATCGAGTGCAGTAACTACAGGTCGCTGGTTGATCCTATCACGCGCTGCAGGCTCGATATCACCTGGCTGGTTGAGTAGTGTCTCAAAATGCTGCGACCATCGTTCAAGCACCCTTTTGTTGTCTGAAAAGGTTGTGTTACCGTCCAGGGACTTGAGATGAACTGTACTCCTAGTCTGGGGGCCCCAGACTTCTTTCAGTCCAGTGTAGAAGGACTTCATGTCATTATTGTCTGCGGAGCGCTGCAGGTCCTCTGCCTTTTTCTCCCACCAGGTGGTTTTCATTTTCCGTGTGTACCTCTGCAAGTGTCTGCAGGCTTCCTTGTACGCGGTGGTGGTTGACCTGGTGCTTCTAGTCTGTAATACACGTTGGTGTGTTTCATTCCTTTTCTTCATGAGTATCAGAAGCTCGGAGTCTTCTGGGTCAAACCAGTCCTGGTGTTTTCGCTCTGGTTTACCGAGGGTGTTGCTCGCTGTGTCATATACTACCTTGCTGAGTGATGCCCAGGTCTGATCAACTGTCATTCCCTCTTGCACTCCCCAAGTCGCCAGAGCTTTCTCCATATCTTGCTCTAGCTTTAGCCGTTGTGTGTTGACGTGTAGCCGGTCTGTGTTCAGCTTTGCAAGTTTAGTAGCTCCTTGCTTCCTACGCTTTGAACGTAAAGCAAATGCAATCTTTGATCTTAGTAGCTGGTGATCGGTCAAGCAATTAGCTCCACGCATAGTTCTTGTGCTGTGAACATCCATTCTGTCTCGTTGTCTTGTTATGATGTAATCAATCAGGTGCCAATGCTTAGAGCGAGGGTGCATCCAGGTGGTTTTGTGTTCTTCCCTCTGCTTGAACACGGTGTTTGTCAGTAGGAGTTCGAACTCAGAGCACAGCGCTAGAAGTAGCTCACCATTGGTGTTGCATTTACCGATTCCGTGCCTGCCTAACACCGACTGCCATTTTTCATAGTCTCGTCCTACCCGGGCATTGAAGTCTCCCATCAATATCAGCTTGTCAGTCCGGGGGGTGTCCCGCAACGTTCGTCTAAGCTGATTGTAGAAGTTCAGACACGTGCAGACACTATTCAGAAGGGAAAGAACGTACTTCCCATAGGCTCAACACGCACCATGCCCCAATCTGTGCCGCATAAAAAAATAACGCAGTCGGGCGTCTTAATTTAATGATCACGCCATCATCGGCTGGTAGCAAGTAAGTAGGGAGAGGTTAGCGTTGGTGTGGTGGAGATCAAAATTAAATAGGTCATATTCTGGACTATTCACCACACAGTAGATGATGAAAAATGACTAGCAACTTTGCTACATTGCTTACTGGAGTGAAATGCAAGCAACCCTGCGTAAAAGGTACGGTGGTCAAATCGCCATCAAAACGGCTACGAATATTTGTTATTTAAATGCTTCTTAATTTCTCTGTAGAGTTTTGAAAGAGGGAGGGGGTAGAGAGAAGGAGGGAGAAATGGGATAAATATATAGAGAGAAAGTGAGAGAGAGGGGATCGATAAAAAGAGAGAGAGGGATAAATAAAGAGAGAGTGAGAGAGAGAGAGAGAAAGAAAGAAAGAGGGAGAGACCGGGATTTTTGAAGAGAGAGAAGGGGGAGGTAGAGCCTAGAGGCATATATAGAGAGAATAATAGAGAGCGAGAGAGAGAGAGAGAGGGGGGGGGGGGGTAGAAAGAGTGAGAGAGAGAGAGAGAGACCAAGAGAAATACCATTATATCTCCTTTATATCCACATCTATTTCATATCTCATTTTCTCTTTCATCTCTTATTCTTTTATCTATACTTTACTGCTCCTATCTTCCATAGAATCACAAATAAGGTAAATCATATTTATTTGATTTCCAGATTTATTCAAACTTCTCACATGTATAAATTTACCAAGCTTGAACAAATCAATACAGTATAATAGGGGTTTATAACATGAAATAGATTGAAAGTATCCCCTAACCAGACGTAATTAGGAACATTTCAATAAGATGAATACAGGCTTGTATGTACATGCATACAGTCGTATTTTACATGAAAAAGATATGCTTTACATCAGCTTCCTTCACTTCAGAATTAGCATAGGCACCTGCATATATGAACCAAACAATTCAGAATGAAGTTCCTGAGTGATATATTATATTGTTGCTTTTACTCCGTTAATTTTTTAGAAATAACAATAAAAAAAAAATTGTTTAAATAAAACAAAGTTCCTGAGTGATGTTATATTTTACTGAGGCCATATGCTGACGAAAAAATATAACAACACGAGGGGAATTCTGAAATTGGAGGTGAATACATGTGACACTTAACAATTAAAGGCATGCAATGTTTTTAAATATACACTTGTGGGTATTTGCGAACCTATGAAGTTATGCCCTCTTGATTACTTTCAGGTTGCCTTCGCATCAGATGCGTGCATTTGAGACAAGGCAACCAATTGGTGCGCGTAGAGAACTAGAAGAGATGTGCGCAGTCTAATTCACTTTTGCACGCGTCATAAGATGCAAAATAAGGTGGTTATATTGCACAGTCGTGCAAATATGCCAGAAAGTTGAGGGTCACGCAACATCACTTCAGCTATAAGAAAAATTGCTAACAAATACACCATCATCAAACTGCAACTAGCTCATTCTTGTATTTCCTTTGTACATCAAAGCGTTGAAATATCTAAAGCACTGCAAACTTTATTTCAGTATTATTTATTTTCTTGATCATCCAATAACCATTGAGAGACCTGTTTAGTACATCCTTTTTCATGACATAATTCAGAATAAACTCATAGATCTGAGCAATTCACATTGTCTATAATGAAAATCAGAGCGGATTATAAATAAGGAGAGGATGGTGATCAAAAGGCAATGCAAGGCAATGCAATGGAATGCTCATAAGACGTCTAGAGTCTACATTTGTATCTTATAAGTCAATCAGGAATGCAAACTTACTAAAATATAAAAATTTATTTACAAGGCAAGTATATATGGCAAACATACAGGTTCAAAATATACATGTATGATACCATTGCAAAATCATAAACATGTGCGCAGTCTAATTCACTTTTGCTCGCATTATAACATGCAAAATAAGGTGGTTATATTGCACAGTCGTGAAGAAAAGATGTGAAGAAAAGCCTGGAATATGTGTCATCAAAATTATTGAAATCCTGTACTGAATACAAAATAGAATAAACATGTATCATACAATTATAGTAGCATATTTACATGAACACTGGAATAATGTTTAATAAATATATATTTCTCACCTGAATTTATTATGCAGTTAAACATATACAAACAATAATCCATTTCAAATCAAATACCACAATGATAACTCAGGCTTGATACATTGACAAAAGAGACATGTATCTTAAAATTATAGCAGCATATTGACATGTACACAGGAGTGCTGTAAAGAAAATCTTGAAGATAGTTCCTCAAATGGATTTAGAATTGTAGAACTCGATAAAGTTCAAAATTTACCAACAACAATCCATGTCTGACAAAATGTTACACTAATAACTCAGGCCTATATTCATACACCCTTACAAGACGAAGTAAGTGCTCATCTGTCATATTGAGTTCTTTCAAGTTCGTTGACAGGATAACTAGAGTAAGATAGCTCTTAACATCTGGGTCATTTCTGGTAACAAATATAACAAGTTAATTTAGATTTAACTTAATCATATTTTATTAAACATATGCAATGTCATTGACATTTACAGTGACATTTTAATAAGATAATTTGAAATATTAGATGCAGTACTTCAATTTATAACTTACTTTGTGAAACTTGAGTGGTATTTCATACATTTCATGCATACACTATGAACATGACTGACAAAGAAAGCGGACAAAATATACAGTTCCTCAGGTAGACAAAGGAACGTCCCTTCACTGCTATTATGTCAAAATGTGTAGAACAGGTGTCGCATGCATATTCACCTTTTTACATAATAGCAGTGAAGGGATGTTCCTTTGTCTACCTGAGGAACTGTATATTTTGTCCGCTTTCTTTGTCTGTCATGTTCATAGTGATATCACCTAAAACAAAATGGTAAATTCTACAATACACATATACCTGGTAGTTGGTACATGCACTACATAAACTGTCTAATGCACTAACATCCTTGACAAGGCACTTAATCCACGTTTGCCAATCTCTACCCAGGTATAAATGGGCACCCGATATACCAAAGGGCAACATATATTTGGCTGCCACCTAGTACCAGGCTAATAATGTTTGAGCGCCAGGAGTATAAGTGTCATTGTATGAATGGCATCAGAAGCCACCGTTATTATTATTATAACTACTAGCCCCCGTGTTTGTCACATTCTATACACAGGCAGGATGTACCGGTAGTTATAGCCAAAATTGACCACCTATTCAGAGCATGTTCAAAACATTTTCCACACAACATAACCCCTTTCTGCAATAAAATATGAACACAATGGGCTCTTGATGCATCTCTTTTTCGGGCTTATTAAGTACACATTCACAAAACATATCCTATTATTTGCATCACTTTCTATTTGGGCCTTTCACATGTTTTCGAACATTTTGACAATATCATGATCTCTTTCTCGTAGAATTTAAACACCAACACGAGGTAGTATAAAAAGGTGAAAAAAGAAACAACCTTTTAACGAATATTCAAACGTTTAAAAACATCAGCAAAAATTATCCCGAGTTGTCCGAGTCTTTTTAGTTGGCCGAGACATACAAGTCATTTGAGCTGCGCCAGTCAGAGGAGTTGTCTGAGTCATTTCAGTTGGCCGAGCCATTCGAGTCATTTGAGCCGTCCGAGTCATGTAAGCTGTAAAGGAAACAGATTTTTCTTATTACTGTATATGTTAACAGATGAGAATTAAAATATCAACTACAAATGTATTACTGAAAGTACCTGTCGCAAGAAAAAAAGAAGAGACCACATTTGTGACCTGAAACTCACATGATTGGGGATACTTGATAACCCTTTAGTCCAGGTTTCATTGAATAATAACTTATACTTCCAAAGTTATATTAAAAATTCAAAAACTTAACCACAGGTTAAGTTTTTTATGTTGACGCCGCACAGTGGGCCAGAATCGCCTCAAAGTGTGCCAAAATTCAAAATTGGCGAATGTGAATTTTTATATTATTTTCATTCGCTTGGGGAAGAAAACATTCTACATAATATTTTTCCACCCATATTTTAATATTTAGCGAGTTTTAAAAGTGTCATATACCCCTGCGAACATGGGAAAAACTATATGTTGCTCCAAAAATTATAAAAGAGGCAACTTTACAATAGGTGTTGAGAATTTATGAAGGGAAAAGCAATCAACTTGATACTGCGTGCACTTCTTGCCTATTGGTAACCCAATTAGAAAATACAATGACCAAATTTATGGAAGCTTCATTTTGGGAAAAATGAGCATTAAATTTCACAAAAAAAGGAAAAAATTGCAATTTTTTTTAAAAGTAGCATGTTTATTAGGATTCCGGCCGATTCCCGCAGTGATGTTAATCTTAAAATGTCCGCCCAAACCTAAGCTTTCCATGTATGGTATTTCTTTTTGCCAGAATTTGCAACACTGCATGTGCAGGCGCTTTTCCTCCCCACGTCCATTGATTATTATTAGGCATATTCGGTACACATTTGTACTGTTTACGTTTGCGCACAGCCGATTCAACGCTCGTCCGCATAACCATGGCAACGCACAGTGGGCCAGGGAGGAACCAAAGTGCGCCAAATCTCATTTTTGGTGATTTACTTTTCTTCAATTCTCTTCTTGACCAGTTGAACTGTAATACATTGTGGAATACCTCAGTAAAATATTTAATTCCGGTAAGCACAACTAGGGTATAAATTTACTCCTTCAAACAGCAAAATCCTACATATTCACAGTTTTAGTGCAAAAGTGACTTATTTTATAAATCTTTCAATTTAACATGAAGTTCTTAAGTTATTGATATGAAAGTGCTCTCACATGTTTGTTTTTAGTCCGTGGCTGAATCATGAAGGATTCGCGGTCATAAATCACGGCGCTTGGGGGCGCGTGACACTTATTCTGACACCGCGGACCAAAATAAACACATTTTTCGGGGCAATGTTGCAAGGAAAACGGCTCTAACATAATAACGGGCACAATCGGGCAGCCAAATCTGGTATCAACTTAAAGCTTAGATATCAGAAAAAATGTTGGTAATACCATTTAAGCGGAAATCCCTGGACATCCAAACATTTCCTATGGATTTATAGAAAATAAATCCCCAGAAATTAGTTTTGACACACTTTGGTTCCTCCCTGGCCCACTGTGCGCCGTCGCCACCGCCGCCGCCGGAAAAGCGGTGCATTTGTCCCGGTTTTGATATGCAGGCGAGACAAAAATGACAGAGATTTCTCTTCATATTGAATAATAAAACAAGGTGAAAAAATAATTGAAAATGATTGGTAAGTACAAGTAGTTTCGTAAAAATTTAGCAAACCAGAATAATCTTAATATATCTTTCTGTCAGCCTTACAAGCAAACAGGGCTCAAAACACACGGGGGCGGTGGGCGATTCGCCCTTGTGAGCTTCATAATCACCTCCGTCAGATTGCTCACGGGGGCGATTGCAAAATTCAAAATCGCTCCCCGTGGAATTATGAACTTAAGATTATTTTTTCTGTTATAACTTTCGCACAATATTGAGTTTCAACTTTCAAACCTTAAACCAATAAAATGGAACTATGGAAATTAGGTTAGCGTGCAGGATTTCTCGCTCAAATTTTTCAGTGTCTAGAGGCTGCCATATTGTAAACAAATTTTTTTACCGCAAGATTGCGCTATATCTCCCATCTCCACATCTCTATGAGTATTACAGATACGTCAGCAGTGGCTATACTAGCTGCGCTGGTAGTATACTGGTGTGCACGCTGCCGCCCCATAATTATCTGCTGGAGCTAGATAGAGGCGATCGCGCAAGGACCAAAACGTGGAGAAGTTTTTTGTTGTAAAATCGTGAATCCTCTGAAATCTGGTGATTCCAAAAGACCAGCAAATAATGAACCTCGACCCGTAAATCAACCGAAAGACAAATGTAGTAGAAGGAAACCAGTTGGCGAGGAGGCGACTGTACGGGCTTGGACCAGAAATTTTGTACAGAGGGAGGAGATCTGACCATTAGCTGCATGTAAAGTTGTAAGAGGGAAATAATGCCGATAATGAAGAAATAACAAATAGTTTTGGAGTATCATGGTTACCACCAATTCAACAGAACTTTGTATTAAAAAAAGAGCCCCCGTAAGTACTATAAAAGCCCCAGTGAGGAGGCTCACAGGGGCTCTTTTAGGGGGGAAGAGCCCCTGTGGATAAAAAATTAATTTGAGACCTAGCTGCAAGGAAATATTCTCAAATTACTGTTAACTATTTAAAATGATATGTGTTCCAAGCTTCTTGTGAAGGGCATAAAATGTTACTAATACCAAAATGTTGTATTCCACTAATACAGTTAAACCTGACCCTGGGTTTAAAAATGAAAAATTTAGACCTTGCACTACTTAATAATATTACTAAATATATTCCAGGTTTATATAGCGCTTGAAACATCTACAATGTCTCTTTACAGAAATGTCATTACTCCGGTCATCAGTTTCAGGCTTGCCTGCACACAATGTATCAACATTCTCCACTCCTTGGGGAGCATTTCAGCCAGACCTCATTTCACAGTTCCTTTGTGTAACCTGTGATTTTGAACAACAACCTAAAGACATTGCCACGTTTAAGATTGACTAGAATATGGGCCAAGGAGTTCATATTGGACCAGTTGGAAGCTTCACATGATTAATTTACATACTTCACTAAATTTCTAACCCCTGCAGCCATAAGGATGGTCTTAAGCTGGGCCATATCACCACCAGTCCTTGTCTTCCACTGTGCCAAGCAATCCCTCGTAGCCATTGGGTAGTTATTGTTAAACTTCATTAGGATGCCTATGGCTTCGTAGTATCCGATGTCAAGTTCTGTGCATAGCGATGTGTAAGTCTTAGGAGGCATGTGTCTCGATAGTTTGTCAAGTATTCTATCTGATACCAGATTAGTCCTGAGGAATACAAGAACGATAAATACAATCTTTGCAACCTAACGGTGTCACTTTATATTTATGGGTGCAAATGTGGAGCGCCATAGATGTCAAGATTGACAGACACGAGTGCTACACTAGAATCCACTTTTATCATTATAGTAGTATTATTATTATCATCATCATTATGCTTATTAATATCATTATCATAAGTTATTATTATCAACATCATCAGATATTATGATATTGTTAATATCATTATCATCAGTTATTATTATCAACATCATCAGATATTATGATATTGTTAATATCATTATCATCAGTTATTATTATCAATAATCCATGATTGTTATAGCAGAATTTTATATCCCTCTATATTGCATAAAATAACACAATTTTTTGTGTGCAAATTATGCCACTTTTTTAAAAATAAAAACGGATACAAAATGGCCTCTATTGTTTGCTTATTGAGTACACATTCCCACAAAGTGGCCTACTTTTATGAACACAGGTACATACTCATTCACATGTTTGCGAGCATCATGGGGGGGGGGGTGACATTTTTTCTGAACTTCCTTGCTCTTTAAAAAAAAAATACCCTTATTACCCCTTTTTCTAACTCTCATTCGAAATTTGGGATAACTCTGCCATAACAAGAAAAATACCTCCCTATAAAATAACTACTAAAACAACCCATTGTTCATAACAAATTGTGTGTATTATTATAAACTTATAGTTTAGCACTGATTTTGAGATTAAATGTGAAAGGACTCAAGAAGGCTGATTATGTAATGCAGACATATCACTGTACGTTGTGAGGTTTTGGAATGATAAAAATCAAAACATGGACTGATTCTTGCTGAATAATGCACTACACACACTCAAATATTTGGTTTAAACTATCTGTTATTGTAATACTTCAATGAAGATGGAATTTGAAGAGCGGTCCCATTCAGACCTGATTTCTGCTAGGATATTCTTCCTGAGAAAGCTCACAATTTTGTTTTCATTTTTATCAGAAATCAGCCTTCTCTTTCAAATATATCATAGATTGGTTACATACTGTGATAGCGTAGACACCCCTGCTGCTCGTGCTTCTGCAGTTGTTGTTGTTCCCATATCTTTATTTCAAAGAAAGAGAAAAGATGAATAGATGGAAGATTGTAAATTTGTAAATTCATAAAAAGCCAAGTTCATTATGGGGTATGTCAGGAAAGCACAATATATAATTAGATTTGGGCTGGTCTTAGAGGAGAACCCCAAAGTGTTGTTCTGAGAGATTTATTGCATTCTTGCCCATCAATCTCCAATATTCCCCACCAAAGTGTATGAGAAAGGCATAAAGCAAGAAAGAAGTGCAGTTCCTCAGCAAGACATGGGCATGGGCATTTTCTTGATTGCATGATATACTATATGTGGAGTCGTTTATCAACTAAATGTATTCAAATTTATAGATGATTCCTTCCCAGGTGTTTGTGGTGTTTAAGCATTTCATTCACCTGTTATTATCCTTTGTATTCCAATTGCCAGAACGCAAATTGCATAAATAAGTTGTTATGTGTTCTGGGGTGAAGGTTTTGCATAAATGCAATAGATTTTTCAACCGCTATATTTTAGCATTTTAAAATAAAAGAGTTACAATTGTTATCCTAATATATATTTTCACCAAATGTAATTTGTGACTTTTCGGCTATGATTTACCCTCATTGAAAAGTAAAGGTTGTGTTATTAATTTAAGTGATACATGTACAACTCTGCCTGGTACGTCACATTTTCAAGAAAATGCCTGCACCCTTGTCATGCTAAAAGGCATTACATCGCGCCAAGAAATCTTTCATATCTCTTATACAAGTTTGTAAGATTTATTGTAAATCAAAAGGCAGGAATTCCTCACGTTTTTCAGAGTACCTACACTTATTCTTTAGGGTTAGTTCTCCTTTATAGATTTGATAAAATAGGTAATTATATTTCTGTATTGCACTTCAAGACATCGTAGATGTATCAAGCAGTATACATTATATACCCGGAAAGCTCTTCTTACTATTATTAATTGTATTACAATATACAGAAAAATAAATATCTGCTGATATTTATTGCTTATTGTTTCTAAGATACTATGTGGGTTCCATGTTATATTTCTCTGTATTGAATGGGGTAGGGGAAACACAGATACGGGTTAACACCTGCACATCCCTAGGGAATCAACATCCCAGGCATGAGTAATAATAATAATATTAATGATGTCAATGATAACAATATCAACAACAACACTTATGATGAGGATAATGATGAAAATAATAATAATCATAATACACAAAGAATTACAGCATATACTATAACGCGAATGTCTATCACGCTGTGCTGCCATATATGTAAGGCTCAGGTATTATTATTACTATTAAGTATTTGGCGTCACCTATGCCTGGGAGGCAAAAAGCGAACTGAATCACTGTAATCCCCGGGGTCTTGCCTACCGGTATAACTGATTGGGGGTCCCTGCCCCCCCCCCCCACTGCGGGGTCGGAATGACCACATGCGTGTTAACAAAATGTCTGGTAAAGGGGTACTTTTCATGCGACAAAGTCCGGCCCGAGAATTGTAAAAAAAGGGTGTATTTGACTTTTCACCCGGAGATTTCTTTAAAAAGGGGGTGTTTTTCTTTTTTTCTCTCATCTCTTTGGACTCCTGAGAAATTATTCTGAATTTAGGGGGGTACATTGAGCATTTTTCCGTATTTAGGGGGGTCTCCAAGGCAGAAAAAGCCTGCGAGAAGCCCGCGAAAGGGGGGGGGTTCGGAAATGTTGGCAGTCCTCAGATAGGGTGTGCTTTCAAAAAGAGGGAACGAGCATACGCGTACCCTAAATAACACTGAGTGGGGGGGGGGGGGCCGGGTTGGGGGTGTGTACGTGGACCACTACACCAGGGTTTCCCCTACTAATATACAAATAGTGCTGTTTGTTCTTAACGTGCAAAGATGGTGACTCTCCTCTAAACGGGACCTCCATTTAACGTCCTATCCAAGGCATGTCGGGTACCCATTTACACCTAGGTGGAGAGTGGCAAATGTGGATTGATGCCTTGCCAGAATTAGTTATTGTCCGTTTGGGATTTGAACCGCCAATCCTTGGATTGAGAGTCAAGTGAACAAACCGCTATACCACGACACCTCTACATAATACTTACCAACGACGTCAGGCATTGAAGAAATCCACTCATATAGATCTTTCCTCTTGACCCCCTCTGAATCCAGGGCCTGTCTTAAAATCTTTAACACCTCTGTCGGCTCTTGATTCATCGACCAATTCATTAGCATATTATGGGTCCCTTTGTAATCTATACCGTGTCGGTTTTCGACCTTGGAGCCATTGATATCAGCTTGATGAATTCCCAGTTCCAATCCTAGGTTGTCAGTTTCCTCATCTGTCCTCATATTTTTAGCAATGTCTCTCAAAACTAGCCGGAAATCTTTTTCACTCATTGAGGACATGCTAGATGAATAAGAAGTATGTACAGAAAATCTTACTACATACACATTTATATTCTGGAATTACAATATGTCAACAAATCGTCATAATTTGAGCTTTGAATTTTTTAACCAATGGTTCTGGTTATATAAAAGTACTGGATTGTGGAAAATTACCTGTATCTGGACAATTATCACCTGGACAATAACCCCCCCGAAAATTACCCCCCAAAGGACATCCACACCCCAAGGACAATTACCCCCCCCCCCGGAAAAAACAACAACAAAACAAACACAAGTGAACGCAAAGCGTAGCATCCCCTCGCAGGGTACAAATGGCCTATATACGTCAGAACAAGTTACCTCCATTGGACTATACTATTATATTACTAGGCAAGGAAGTTAACCACATTGCCACATATATAATTAGGTGTTTTTGCATATTTAATGAGCTATAACCTTTACCCTTTGACCTACATACTCAGAAATCAAACTTAGGCTGTACATGTATTTTGATACCATGTACCTTCATATTAAATTTCATTAAAATTCGTCAAACATTACTCAAGTTATCGAATGGAAACCAGATTCACATATTTAATGAGCTATGACCTTTGACCTACATACTCCGAAATCGAACTTAGGCTGAGTTTTGATACCATGAACCTTCATATCAAATTTCATTAAAATCCGTCAAACATTACTAAAGTTATCGATCGGAAACCAGATGGTGTATTTTTTCGCATATATAATGAGCTATGACCTTTGACCTTTGACCTACGTCCTCCAAAATCGAAAGTCGCCTGTATTTTTATATCATGTACCTTCATATCGAATTTCATTCAAATCCGTCAAACATTACTGAAGTTATCAATCGAAAACCAAATTTGTTAAGGACGCACGGAAGGAAGGACGCACGGCAGCGTACTATATCCCCTCCGACTTCATCGGCGAGGGGATAATAATTTTTTAAAGTCCACTCCAAATTTTATTAAGTTAAACCGAAAAAGGAAATTCTTTTGCCCTATTGATCGTGAGCCCGGCAGCCACTGAGCAGCACCAGATCAACGTTGCTCTATCCCGTATTGTTGAACGCCATAATGATTAACTCTGCCATACTACAAGAGAAATCCCTCCCTATAAATAACATACTCAATAAACTTTTAAAAAGAGCAAAAAACAAATCCCTCTTGTGCATAATAAATTGCGTGTATTATAATAGACATATAGCTTAGTACTGATCTTGAGATTACAGTGTGAAAAAAATCAAGAAGCAATTTGGAAAGGGTGATTATGTAATACATACAATTCAATGTATATTGCAAAGTTTTGGAATGATTAAAATCAAACGATGGACTAATTCTTGCTGAATAGCACATGTACTACCCACAAATATTTGTTCCAAACTTTCTATTATTGTAATATTTCAAAGAAGATGGAATTCGAAGAGCAACCCCATTTAGACCCGATTTCTGCTAGGATAATCTTCCTGAGAAAGCTATCAAAGTTTGTTTTTTTCATTTTTATCAGAACACAGCCATCTCTTTGACAGAAATCATAGATTGGTTACATACTGTGATGGTGTTGACACCCCTGCTGCTTGTGAACCGGCATGTATGGGAGAGAATGTTGTTTGTGAACCGACATGTATGGGAGGGGATGTTGCTGCTGCTTTTGTTGTTCGAAAGACAAAAGATGAAAAGATAATGTAAATTTATAAAAAGCCAAGTCCATTAATTATGTCAGGAAAGTACAATATTATCAGATTTAGGCTGGTCTTAAAGACCAGATTCTATGACAAAGGTAATAATATTTCTGTAATTAATGCACTTTAATAGAGACATTGTAGATGTATTAAGCAGTATATATAAATATATATATATATATATATATACCCAGTACAAAATATAGGAAAAGAAATATATCTGCTGATATATATATTGCTCATCGTTTTTTAAGATATGTGGGTTCCATATTATATCATATGTAGAGGAAACCAGGTATGGGTTGACACCTGCACATCCCAATCAGTTCTGCCCAGGAATGTGACTGGGGGTGGGGAGGGGGGGGGCATCTGGTAAAACAAACAAATCAACCAATAAGATGTACACAAAAATCGTTCCTACCTCCTCCGCCTCTGCCATCAGCTTGGAACTGAGCACGTATCTCTTCTGTCGTTTGTTGTAGGTCTCTGGTTTTAGTTCTGCTTGGTGTTGCTTCACATCCAGAGGGTTCATTCACAGACATGCTTGATGTATCCTTAGTGAGCAACTGCTTCGCTTTGGAAGCGCTTAGAGACTCATCGTGATAAAGCTGAATATTATTATTATTATTAATTTTGGTCAACTGCAAAATTATAGTGGAATTAGCTCACTCAAAATTATAATTATTCTTTTTATTTGTTGTAGTCTGCTTCCTTCAACCTTAAAGATTTTTGCAGAACTTTGGGTGACATAATGGTAGATGAAAGACTTCATGCATGGCTGATTGTCAACGAAACGGAGTTAAGTCAATTCTGCTTTTTGCTACAGCAGGCAGCCAGTGAAAACGAATTTGTTTGATAAAATTATGAAATGCAAGCACTACTTTAAACAAACATAACTTTGTCATTCCTTGCTCATTTTTCCTGATTAAGGTGTGATATGAAAGAGCAGAAACTGAACTTTCTAGAAATGTGAATTTTCCTTCGAAATTAAGATACTGCGGTCCGCCAAATAACTTTTTGGTTTCCTCTCTTCAAATTGATTTTATTCACTCATGCGTGAAATATGCATCATATGAGTTGCATCAAATGAAAGAGGAGGGTCTAAGCTTTCCAAATATGTGTCATTTATTAATTATAAAAGTGACTAAGTTATGATAAAACATCGATAATTCTCGGTTTCGTTTTTTCTGGGACGCAGTGTAGAGGGAGCAATTAGCTACAAGTAGTACAGTGGGGCTTAAAAGGCTTCCAACATATTCAAAACTCTGATTTCATGTGCATAAGAATCCTACGTTAGGAGTTTTTTGGCTATGGTAGAGTTTTGGTAAATTCAAGCCTTTAAAAGAATACATGAAATATTTTCCCCATCAATCAAAATTGGACACGCTTAGTATTGATTATTAATCAAACTAATGTTAATCCTATACACGCTTCAATTTCAATTGAATCAGAACGTGCACAGTTTGCTTTCATTCCATGTTTAATGACTATTCTGACGTATGAAGAATATGGCATTCAAACGTTTTTAAAATTAAAAAAAAACATATACCAAATTACCAATACATGCATGTGCACCATATAATTGTGACTGCACTTTCTTTCATTCAATGAACTTCTCCATGACATTTACTGTAATATACACGTACCTGTATGGATGATGTCTTTGCTTTCAATGTACAGTAGACCTCCTCATTGACATCACTTCCAAGTATCAGCTCAGTCAGGTTTGGCATAGCACACAGTGCTTCTACAAGGTGATGTGACGAGGCTGGTGTGGGACATTTCACATTAAGCCTGAGAGTCTGGACCTGCATTGTTTGTGAATATAATAAAGCAGCACGTCAATACATGCATATATTTTATTCACTAGTTCTAATTTCATTTCATTTCATTTTATTTAATTATTATATAAAGGATAATTGGTCTCTCATTGCATTCACATATTTATCACCAACTGCATGCACAACACAGCTGTATTGATATTCACATTATTAACAAAGATATTTATACAGATCTAGCCTGGGCTAGTTTGAAAGTGCAGAGTCTGGAGGGGGGGGGGGGGCTTCTAAGGCCCACGTCCCCCTATGATCTAGGTCGTTTCACGCTTATGCTTATTCTGCGCCGTGATATATCATCCTCATCCAGACAATGCAGTCACAGAACGGTTGATGGACCGCATTCAATTTAACCTGGACCGTCTCACTACAAATCACCCAAATTCGGGATTCATCGGAATAGGTGATTTTAATCAACTCGAAGTTACCCCTTTCTTGTATGACCGGCGGTACAGACAAATCATGCACCAACCAACAAGGGGCACACGCACACTAGACAAAATTATTTCTAATTTTAGTCAGTTTTATAACAACATGAACATTTTGTCACCGATTGGACAATCTGACCATGTGACGTTACTCTGGCAGCCGCGACATTACATTGGCAGCCAGAGAGTGGTCTTAGGTAACGCCTTATCCTGTCTAAGAATTATGAATACAGGGGCGCCCCAGGGCTGTGTCATCTCCCCTGCGCTCTTTTCCCTCTACAGAAGAGTCTATGTAATGTAAGAGAGTGTATCATCAAATATGCGGATGATACTGTTATCATAGGTTACCTTTCTGAAGTTGTAGACCCATACGCTAAAGCTGTAGATGAGTTTGTAAGATGGTGCAATGAGCACTTCCTGAAACTAAACTTAACTAAAACAAAAGCGATGATAATTGATTTTCATTGAAACCCCCTTTGATCATACCCGATTTTGATAAATGGTTCTTCTGTTGAACAAGTTACAGAGTATTGATAATTAGATACTACTGTCTCAATGTCACTTGATTGGATTAAGAACATTTTGTTGCAGAAATCCAAAAGAAAGCCAACCAGAGATTATACTTTGTTAGGGTAATGAAAAACTGAAGAGTAGATAGTAAGTTGATAGAACTGTTCTTTAAGTCCCTAATTTAGAGTGTCCTAGCCTTGAACTTAATTTGCTATTATGCAAACGCCAAAATTGCTGCCTAGAAACTGCTTGAACGTCCCAGAAAGGCAGCAAAACGTATCACAGGAGCCCATCTACCATCCATATAAGATCTGTACAAGAAAAATGCCCTTTCTAAAGTAAAACAAATAATGCATGACTCCTCGCACCCACTAAATGAGCACTTCAATTATAACAGATCTGAAATATACCTGTGCACACCAAGAAATGAACGTACACGTTTCCGAAGATCCTTTATCCCCCACTCCATTAATCTGTTTAATTCTAAAGTAAGACGTGTTCGACTACTATGAACTTACCATGTCAATGTATTAATGTAAATGTCAAACATATACCATGACTGCCACGGAGAGAAAGCAGGTGATCATCCAAAACATGAGGGACATTGATCGCCTTGGTTTAGTCATGATAAATTGCATTGTAATGTTTTTATGGTATATTAATTAAAATGCCTATCCGTTATCCGTGCATCATATGTGAAAGAACAGCAAGGAATAACCAAAACGCATGATTATGTGTAATTTTTTCCTTATGGTGCCATCTTAGTTGTAATAAATTGCACCAAAGTGCCTTTGAATCAGATAGTGACTGGATTTGTGATGTTTGCGCCTTCAAAGAACTCCCATTTCTCATACACTGACCCAGATGCTGTTGATTTTAAACGATTGAAATCTTACAGTGGTATTAAAATAGGTCATCTAAATGTTTGTAGTCTATTGAAGAACTTTGAAGAAATTGAACATATGTTGACCTCCAGTAAATTAGATATTCTCACTCTTTGTGAAACTAGACTATGTGATGCCATCCCAAACTCAGTTGCTAAAATTAATGATTACTGGTATGATATTGTGAGACTGGACAGAAACCGCCTTGGCGGAGGTATATTGTTGTATATAAGAAACAATATTCGTTATTCAGTACACTTGTACACTTGTGTCCGATATTGAACTTTTAATTGTAAAGATATTTGCTGGTAAACAAAAACTGTACTACAGTAGGCTTGCGGATGCACCATGTGAGAGAGAGGAAGGATTGAGGAGTCCTGAAAAGGACTCTCTGTAATCTTTCTTGAGGGTGTGTAGTCCTGAACAGGACTGTTGGTGTAGTCTTGAAAAAGACTGTTGGTTATCATTCTTAGCTTATAGTCCTAAGGATAATTCTAAGGAGAACTATAGCGCCGATTGGAGAGGATGGGTGGCGGGAGAGGATGGGTGGCGGGAGTGGCTCAACGTTTCAAACAGGTTGACTAAACGCCGTCATGAGTGGAATGTAATATTATAAATAATAATAATAATAATAATGATAACAACAAATAATAATAATTTATGTATTTATTATCGCTCCGCATCAGCGTTGGTGCTCGGTACACATCTTCCCTGAAGGCTCTTACCTACTTAGATATGCAAACACGAGCGCAAAAGGTCTTACCCCAGATTTCTCAAAAAAGAGTTCTTAGACATACTAAAAAACAGAGTGAAAAACAGCCCCATACCCCCACTTATACGCATCCACAATTCTAGTTAATACAAAAACAGATGTTCATCAATATTGCCAATATTATAGTAGGGATCTGACTGTTTTACATTCCAGAACTTTAAGTACAATGAGACAACATTTAAAGGTAAAGACCAGTATTGGAAACGCCCCAATTTCAAAAAATGAAATGGAAGCTCTCATTACTAATTATGTGAAAGAATATGTTTTGACTAATACACGATGATAAAAAATTTGCCGGGAAACCGCCTACTAATTCATATATTTGGTAAATTTGTTTCTCTCATGGTCTGTGAGAGATATAGGGTAGTCCCATATCTGTGTATAGTGCTTGTAGCTTTACGAAGAATCATGGGCCAAATTTTTTATCATTTTGATGATTCCAGAACCTTGCAGATGCTAGATGCTAGTTGATCAACCTTTTCTGATCGATTCCACAACGTTTCTTGCTCAATGCAATCGCATGACCATAACTGGCCTTTACCTTTAAGATGATTTCCCATAAGTGCAATACTTGAATGCAATTATACAACCTATGGTTTATATTACTGATAAAGACTACATGTATGTAATGAAATCAAGTTTGTATTTAGATTATGTTTGATATCCATACTTTTTTATTTCTATATTTGAGTCTAATCTTTGAATCTTGAAAAATGGAAACACTACATCTTCTGTATCAACGTCAGAAAACTGTGTTAACCATTTTTATGCCTCCGCCACCGAAGGTGGTGCCGGAGGCATCATGTTTTCGGGTTGTCCGTCCGTACGTCTGTACGTCCGTACGTCCGTCCGTCCGTACGTCCGTCCGTCCGTCCCGTTTGACCGTTATCACAATATCTCAAGAACCATTTAAGATTTAAACTTAAGACTCGGGAATAGTATTTATCACCATAGGAAGACGATCTGATTAGATTTTGGAGTACGTAGGTCAAAGGTCACAGGTCACAGAGGTCAACTTATTAAATTCCTTGTATTGAGTTTGTTAGCGCGATTTCTCAAGAACCATTTGAGATTTAAACTTCAAACTTAAGGATAGTATGTATCACCATAGGAAGACGATCTGATTAGATTTTGGAGCACGTATGTCAAAGGTCAAGGGTCACAGAGGTCAACTTATGAAATTCCATACATTGAGATTGTTATCATGATATCTCAAGAACCACTGGAGATTTAAACTTCAAACTTAGTGATAGTGTGTATCACTATAGGAAAACAATCTGATTACATTTTGGAGCACGTAGGTCAAAGGTCAAAGGTCACAGGGCTCATTATGTATGCAAAAACAGCTTGTGATCGCGTTATCTGAACAACCGATTGATGGATTCCTGCCAAACTTTGGTCATGTATGTATCTTGCAGAGCTGATGAACTGATTAGATTTTGGGGTCACGAGGTCAAAGGTCAAAGGTCACAGGGCTCATTATGTATGCAAAAACAGCTTGTGATCGCGTTATCTGAAGAACCGATTGATGGATTCCTGCCAAACTTTGGTCATGTATGTATCTTGCAAAGCCAATGAACTGATTAGATTTTGGGGTCACGAGGTCAAAGGTCACAGCGCACATTATGTATGCAAAAACAGCTCGTGATCGCGTTATCTGAACAACCGATTGATGGATTCCTGCCAAACTTTGGTCATGTATGTTACTTGCAGAGCTGATGAACTGATTAGATTTTGGGGTCATGAGGTAAAGGTCAAGGTCATGCGGCTCATTATGTATGCAAAAATAGCTTGTGATCGTATTATCATTAGAACAGATTGATGGATTCCTGCCAAACTTAGATCATTTATGTATCTTGCAGAGCCAATGAATGGTTCATAAGATCAAAGGTCATGGGCTCATTATGTATGCAAAAATAGCTTGTGGACGCATTCTCATTAGAACTGACAGATGGATTACTATTTAACTCAGGAAATCTTGCAGAGCCAATGAACTGAGTAGATTTTAGGGTCATGAGGTCAAAGATCAAAGGGTCATATATGTTTATGAGAAATTGCTTGTAATCACGATATTCTGAGAACATGTTAATGGATTACAATTGAACTTGAATTTGAAAAATTTCTTCCGTTTCGGTTTGTAAAATTGCTCTATGACGGAGGCATCATTTTCGACTGCGCGCAGTCGAATTCCATCTAGTTTTGTTTTGTTAATGAATGCAATTATCTTCCATGGCCAATGTCACAGTTGTCTCCTCTTCTTCTACCGATTCTACAGTACTTCTCCACCTCCTTCTTCATCTTGCATTTCTCCTTTGTTTTTGAACAATTCTAGTACAGCGTATAAGCTCCCCATATAATGAAAATTGTGCACTTTTTGAG